CCACTTTCGTTCAGCTTTTGATAGTGGGAGAGGCTCTGCTTATGTGAGAGCAGAGGAAATCTTTGTACCGTCCACTCAGTTTTGCTGTGAACGGAAAACTGATCTAAAAAATAAAGTCTAGGGGCACCTGGGTGGCTCAGTCGTTAAACATCTGCCTTCGGCTCAGGTCATGATCCCAGGGTCCTGGGATCGAGCCCCGCATTGGGCTCCCTGCTCCGCGGGAAGCCTGCTTCTCTCTCTCCCACTCCCCCTGCTTGTGTTCCCCCTCTCGCTCTCTCTGTCAAATAAATAAATAAAATCTTTAAAAATAATAATAATAAAGTCTATTAAAAGTAAATCAAAAGATCAGATGGGAAAAATAATAAAGAATGCTGGGTAGCAAGGAATAGATATCTAAGTCTTATAAAGCTACCATATATAATTCTAGTTGTTTTTTTGTCATTAAACATGATTCTAGAAATATTTGATGATGGTGGTGATAATGGTGGTAGTGATAGTAATAGTTACCATTTACTGAGCACATACTATGTGCCAGGCACTATGTGAAGCATATTACATGCATTATCACCATTACCATATTTCATACAAATAGACACTTGAAAGAGAAACTCTTGTTACATCTTTCATAGCACTATTCCATATAGCAACAAATCATATGTCCAATATATCCCTTTTATGCAAGTTTTATGGAGAGAAGTGCTGACTTTTGTGAAAAAGGTCAGCTAGTAGCCTTATTGATTTGAATTAGGAATTTTCTTTCTTTTAAACTATATATATATATTTTTTTTTTTTTTGAGAGAGAGAGAGTGTGAGCGCAGAGGGAGAGAGATCCTAAGCCAGCTCCCCACTCAGCACAGAGTCTGACATGAGGCCCAATCTCACAACCCTGAGATCGTGACCTGAGCCAAAGTCAAGAGTTGGATGCTTAACCAACTGAACCACCCAGGCACCCCAAATTAGGAATTTTCTTGAACTATCAACCCTGGAACATGATTAGTACAGGCTAGTCTGAATTTCTGGCCAGTCAACAGTCATTAGCTGTCTAATACTCCTTCTTCATACCCATCCTGGATAGAGCCTGAACCAGGCGCAGGGCCGATGAATATGTGAGTGTGTCTCATCCAAAGTTAAATAGACAGTGCTGTTAGGTATAATCTGCTCATCTGTGTATACCAAAGTAGATAATTTTGCCACAGTTCAATTTTTTTTTTTTTAGTGTGGCATTCAAGGCTTTCCAGCATCTTCACCCTCTTGGCCTCAGAATCTTCTTTTTTTTTTTTTTAAAGATTTTATTTATTTATTTGACAGAGAGACACCGCGAGAGAGGGAACACAAGAAGGGGGAGTGGGAGAGGGAGAAACAGGCTTCCCACTGAGCAGGGAGCCCAGTGCGGGGCTCGATCCCAGAACCCTGGGATCATGACCTGAGCCGAAGGCAGATGCTCAACCGACTGAGCCACCCAGGCGCCCCGGCCTCAGAATCTTCTATCCCTCCAGAGACATCTCGCATTGCACTCACACAGGACTAACAACCTTTCCTAAAACATGTTTCCTAAAACATGCCTAGCACTTTTCCTTTTCTCTTGCTTATGCTGTCAAACTCTTCGCCCTACGAGGCCCAACTCACACCGCTACCTTGTGCCTTACCTGTCTCCCATCTCCCACTCCCTGTGCCCATTCACTTAATCTTTGCTTTTTATCCCCACCCTACTTTGCCTCCATTTGACACTCATTTCCTTGTCTCTTATATAATAATTAGCTCTCGTGTCTGGACTGTAAGGTGTCTGTGGGTAATAACTATGGCTTATTTTTCCTTTAATCTCTCCTTCCCCTCTGTAAGAAAAACAGTTCCTTAAACATAATAAGGGCCCAGTAAATATTGAAATACTTAAAGAGCCCTATTTTTCTGAGTGACTTGTTATGATGAAGTAATTATGGCTCCTTGTCCAGTGTAATTTAGATGTAGAGAATTTTCAGTGATCCTCATATGAATTTTCTTTCTTTTTTTTTAAGGACTTTATTTATTTATTTGACAAAGAGAGACACAGAGAGAGAGGGAACACAAGCAGGGGGAGCGGGAGAGGGAAAAGCAGGGAGAAGCAGGCTTCCCGCCGAGCAGGGAGCTGGATGCGGGGCTCGATCCCAGGACCCTGGGACCGTGACCTGAGCCGAAGGCAGACACTTGACAACTGAGCCACCCAGGCGCCCCCCTCATATGAATTTTCTGTTGTTACTTCTATACCTTGGCTGTTGCCTCCACCCTCTAGCAAATGATTAGAAAAAACAAACTGGTTTTAACACCTTTCTTTCTTTCTTTCTTTCTTTCTTTCTTTCTTTCTTTCTTTCTTTCTTTCTATTTTAAATTTTATTTTATTATGTTAATCACCATACATTACATCATCAGTTTTTTTTTTTAAAGATTTTATTTATTTATTTGAGACAGAGAGAATGAGAGAGAGAGCACATGAGAGGGGGGAGGGTAAGAGGGAGAAGCAGACTCTCCGCTGAGCAGGGAGCCCGATGCGGGACTGGATCCAGGGACTCCAGGATCATGACCTGAGCCGAAAGCAGTAGCCCAACCAACTGAGCCACTCAGGCGCCCACATCATTAGTTTTTGATGTAGTGTTCCATGATTCATTGTTTGCGTATAACACCCAGTGTTCCATTCAATACGTACCCTCTTTAATACCCATCACCGGGCTAACCCATCCCCCCACCCCCTCCCCTCTAGAACCCTCAGTTTGTTTCTCAGAGTCCATAGTCTCTCATGTGGTTTTAACACTTTCTTAAACAAAATATAACTGGTGAGAGAAAATGCCCCTTAAAGAGTCACATGATACATTTTAAAATCTAATAAAAATTCAGACTAGCTACTTCATAAAAATACTTATATATCCAACACACCTTTTTGAACACTCACCTTCTCCCCACACACCAACTCATTCCTCTTACTGCCTTTCCTGGCTACCACCCACCCATGGGTTTCAGCCAGGAACTTCAGACCAATCTTGAGCTCTTTTCACTCTTTCTTTTTTTTTAAGATTTTATTTATTTTTTAATTTTTCATTGTTTTAGAGAGAGAGCACGTGTTGAGTGCAGGGCGGGAGGGCCAGAGGGAGAGGGTGAGAGAGAATCTTAAGCAGGCTCCATGCTCAGCTCAGAGCCCCACTCAGGGCTCAATCCCACGACCTGAGATCATGACCTGAGCCGAAATCAAGAGTTGAACGCTCAACTGACTGAGCCACCCAGGCACCCCTAAGGATTTTATTTTTAAGTAATCTCTACTCCCAACATGGGGCTCAAACTCACAACCCTGAGATTAAGAATCATGTGCTCTACTAACTGAGCCAGCCAGGCACCCCTCTTTTCACTTTCTCATCATTTCTCCAGTCTGCCTCCTTCTCTTCATCCCACCCTTTTTCATTCAGACTCTCATTATCTTTTACCTGGCCTTTGATCCTGCTTCTAGTCCCTCTTCCCTCCATCCTCATTTTGTTCTGTATATGCTGCTAGGGTTGCCTTTCTAAAACAGATATGATCTTGTTTAAAATGCTTTGAGTTTTTTTTAGAAGATTTTATTTATTTGACAGAGAGAGACAGCGAGAGAGGGAACACAAGCAGGGGGAGTGGGAGAGGGAGAAGCAGACTTCCTGCCGAAGCAGGGAGCCCAATGTGGGGCTCGGTCCCAGGACCCTGGGATCATGACCCGAGCCGAAGGCAGATGCTTAATGACTGAGCCACCCAGGTGCCCCTAAAATACTTTGAGTTTTAAGAACTCAGAAGGATCTATGCTTTAGGTTTCCTATTGGGCTCAAAAGACTAAAGTCCAAAATCCATAATCTGGTTTCAGCCAAATTTCCCCAGATTTGCTTCCTTTCATGCCCTATCATGTACCAAATTTCAGCCACCCTGAATCTCTCTGTTCCCCAAACATGCCTCTGCCTGAGCATCTCTTCTCACTTCCTGAAATACCCTGCTTCCTCTTTCCTGTCTATTGAATTCCTACCCTCCTCTATGAAGCCTTCCCCAGGAACCCCAGGCAGAAATATAGTCTCTGTGCTTTGACTTCCCACGAATCATAACTTGTTCTGGCACACTGACCTATGGCCTAATTTTTCCTACCTACACTTTGAATTTCTCAAGGACAGGAAAATGCTTTATTTCTCTTTGGATCCTCAGGGTCTAGTACAGTGGTTTACCTCATTAAATATTTCTGAATGCACAACTCAGTGTGCTCTTAAGATATAATGTAAAAGTAAGATATGGTAGATTCATTATCTGGCATTTCAAGAACTAACCAGGATACAGGTAGAATGGATAAATGAATTCTAAAGGTACTTTTCAAGCCTCATTTTCACACTTAGCTTTAAATCCCTCCATTCTTTCATTCCCCTCTTGTGTGAGTCCTCATAAGCTTTGAGATAAGACAGAACAGGAGAAAGTAGTCTAAATGACAAGTATCTGAACAAGCAAGAGAAAATGTGCTGAGCTACTTGGAAGTGACTGCCTTAAGTCATTTCATGTTATGAAAGTGTGGTTTCTTCAGCTGGGTTCTAAGATACGTGATGGGGTTATTTGTTTTTTGCAAGATAAAACTGGCAAGAAAAAGTGAGGTGATTTCAAGATCCAGTGACTTGGGAAAGGGAAAGTAGAGATAAACAAAATGTTCTGTTGATGTTCTGCCCGGTATCTTTTATGTTAACTCAGTTATTTTGTTCTGTTCTGTTATATATATGTACTTTTGATTAGTATAATTTTCAGTCAAGAGTCAGTTGGATCTTTTATTATTTCTTTAATTTTAAGCTTAACTAATACTGTTGCTAACATGCATTAGGCACTCAGACATTTTAGGTAATTCAACATTGACTTAATTAATGTTTAGAAATAATTAATCAGAAACATTAAAGCCAGCTTGACTTCTGTTTATTTTTTTATTGAAGTATGATTAATATTCAATGTTATGTTAGCTTAGGTATTGACTTTTATATTTTAAATTTCAGTTTTTGCCACCCTCTCCTATCCCCATCCGTGCTTCCTATGGTCGCCTTCATCAAATCAAACAGGTAAGAAGACTTTCAAAACTGATAGCTGTTCAATAAAAAGAAAACTTTATTTTTCTTTAAAAAAATACCTGTGGTTCAGTAATTCCAAATTAGGTCACATGTGATTCTGTTTTTAATTCTAGTAATGGTTCCTCTAAAAAAAAACAACTAAGGAGTCCTATATTTCTTTGAGTTATTACCTATTTTAATAAACTGATAGTTTCCAGAAAGATAATATACTCTTCTGCCTTGAATCTGACCTCTTTCAGAGATCGCAAAGAAAAAAGAAAATTAATTTTTAAGTTCATAATGACCATAGTTATCATGGTGTTTTTAAACCGTCAGGTGAAGAAATTTTTTTGACAGATGAAATGGCCTTTATGCTATCATTTTGTGTTCATTTCTTAGTGATCTGAGTTCAGGGACACATTGTACCTCACTGGCTTATGTTCTGTGCAGGCGTGTATGTGTGCATGCATGCGTGTGCATGTGTGTGTGTGTGTGTTTAATAGCAAACGCCTAATACACAGTTAAACCTTTTAATTATCCAAAGATTAGCCACAGAACTCAAAAGATCAAATCACCACTCCGCCACAGGTGGTAGGATTTTTCTGACCCAACTACAAGCAGATTTTTGTTCAAGGGCGGCTTAACTGTTATGAAGCACTTATTATTTACTTAGCGCTAAAATAGGTACTTTACATCTGTGCTCTCATTTTATCTCACAACATAAGATCAGAAACTCATGACAGGAGAAATTTAGTAATTTACCCAGTGTTCAGAGTTAGTGAATGTCAGAGCCAGAACTAGCCCCAAATTACTGGATTCCTTTCCAGCTACCTTTTCCCTGTGTCAGTGGCGCAGAAGCCATAGTATCTCAGGAGTCTGGTGTTTAGGACTCCAACTCCTGCTTCCTTTCCCTCTCTCCCTCTCACACCATGGCTTCCCTGAAGTCCAGCCTGTCATCCAGTAGCAAACAAGTATGGTAAAAAGATTCTTTTACTTTTTAGTGGATAAAACATTCTTTAACTGTCTTTGCAAGTATGGAGCTCTTTTAGAAGTTCTTAAGGAAAGAACCTAAAATTAGTAGGTAAGATGACCTCTGGTTTATCTGTGCAATTTGTTTTGTTGCTTCCCCTAAATGAGATCAATACTTTAAAATTGATTATATGTTGCTATTTGATTATGAAGCTTGAAATCAAGGTAAATTTTTGAAAATTGATTACATGTTGCTATTTGACTATGAAGCTTGAAATCAAGAAAAATTTAACTGGTCAGTAAATTGTACAGCAGTCTACTTCCATAGTGACAGAATATATGTTATAAACATTTAAAATGAAACACAAGTAGAAAGTGAATTAAATGGGAAAATAGAAATATTAGCTTTCAATCTGGGTACTGATTGAATGGAAAATCAAGACTTATTTTCAGCAGCTTAATGGTCTGATAGATATCTTAAATTGCATATTTCTTTATATGCATTCTTTTTTTTTGAGAGAGAGAGAGAAAGAAAGAGAGAGCGTGTGAACCGGGGAGGGGGTGAGGGGCAGAGGAAGAGGGAGAGAAAGAGTCCAAGGCAGGCTCCATGACCAGGGCAGAGCCCAACATAGGGCTCAATTTCATGACCCTGAGATCATGACCTGAGCTGAAATCAAGAGTCAGATGCTTAACAGACTGAGCCACCCAGGCACCCCTCTTTATATGCATTCTTTGACCGTGATTTCTTTTTAGCTGTTGAACTTACTAACCTGACCGTGATTTCTTTTTAGCTGTTGAACTTACTAACCTTTTGGGGAGGATGCCTGAAAGTAAATCCCTGATCTCTTTTTACCCACAAACACTCAGTATGAGTCTCTGAGAAGGACTTTTTTCTTACATAATCACAATGCCATCATTACATCTAGCAAAATTAAGTTATTCTTTAATGTCATCTAATAACCAGTCCATGTTAAAATACTCACTGTTCTCAAAAATGTCTGTTTTACTGATTCAAACATGTTCCAACCATGATCTTTCAGATCTCTCTCTTTTTTAAAGATTTTATTTATTTATTAGAGAGAGAGAGAGCACGAGGCAGGGGAGGGTCAGAGGGAGAAGCCAACTCCCCACTGAGTGGGGAGCCCGATGTGGGGCTGGATCCCAGGACCCTGAGATCATGACCTGAGCTAAAGGCAGTCCCTTAACCGACTGAGCCACCCAGGCGCCCCTCAGGTCTCTTTTATTTAAAACATTCCCTTCCCCTCCTGGTTTTTGTTCCATGCCACTTATTTATTGAAGAAACCAGGCCATTTGTCCTGTAGACTGCCCCACATTCTGATTCTGTTTCCATGTGGTGTTTAATATGTTCTTTTGTTCCCTGCGTTTCCTATAAACTGATTTGATTACATTTTCTTTTACTTTTAAATAAGCACACAGCCCAAGTCAATATTAGGTTCTGGGTCAACATTTAAGTCAATGTATGATTTAAGTTAGCCCTTTCCTAGCAGGCAGTTAGTGCATAATTTTTTCTCAACTGGGGCTACTAGCTGTTTTCTAGGCATTAGGGAGCTTGAGAAAATGAAGCTGGAAGTTAATGTTCTGTTTTCCCCCCCCAGCTTTACTGATATGTAATTGACATATAACATTGTCTAAGTGTAAGGTGCACCACAGGATGATTTATGTATATATTGTGAGGTGATGACCATGGAAGTTAATTTTCTAAACACATCCTAAGTGTTCAGGAACTACTCTTTTTATGTAATTTTCCTTTCCTAGTAACAATCAAGTTTATGTTTCAAGAGGTTTGGAAGCGCTCAGCTTTTAGTTCCCTATCCCAAAACCCTAAACATAATTAACCACTCTGCTGAAATAGTTTGTGTATTAGTTTGCTAGGGCTGCCACAACAAAGTACCACAAACAGGGGGACTCAAACAACAGAGATTTAGTTTCTTTCAGCTCTGGAGGCTGGAAGTCCGAAATCAAGGTGTTGGCAGGATTGGTTTCTTCTGAGGGCTGTGAGAGAAGCGTCTGTCTGTTCCAGGCCTCTGTCCTTGGCTTGTAAATAGCCATCTTCGTGTTCCGCTGGTGTTTTCCCTACACATATGTCTGTCTCCAAATTTCTCCTTTTTTATAAGGACATATTGGATTAGGGCCCACCCTCATCACCTTATCCTAATTTGATTACCTCTGCAAATACCCTATCTCCAAGTAAAGTCATATTCTGAGGCGCTGGGGGTTAGGACTTCAACATACTAGATTTTAGGGGGACACAGTTCCACCCATAACAGTTTGTTCACAGTATATGGTTCTATAACCTTACCTTTATTTCCTGCCTTGTTCAATAGGATATAAAATCACTGAGACCCAGTAAGAATGTGACTTTTTCCAGCAGTGCCTTAAGTAAAATCAGTCAGATTATCTACTTGCCTGTCACCTCTGCATTTCTAACATCTCGTCCTTTTATATCTTCACAAATGTAAACTTTAGCAACACATATTACAGTCTTTGTTTTATCTTAACCTGGTTTGGATAAATTAAACTGGGTTTAGACACAAATGTAAGGGAACTTTATGAAATGAAGCTTTTGAAACAGATGGTGCCAGCTGAAGTGCAGGGCGTGATTCTGATAGGGGCCATCTAGATACCACAGGTTGGTTTCCACAGTCTAGGAAAGCGGTGGCATTAGATCTCGGTGATATGTTTTTCAGTTTTCTGGTCTTCCTTGAAACCTATGAAGTACCCAGTCTTTTTTATGAAGAGATGTTTAATTTGATCTTAGTGTACCAATCATTTCATTCTTTCAGCAAGCATTTGTTAAGCACTGTGCCAGCACTGGGCAACTAAAATCTTTCAGGCATACTCAACTTCAGAGAGCACAAGTGACTAACTTACTATTTCCATTTTTACCTTGGATCCTAAAAACCTGAAAGCTAAGTTTAGCACTCAAGTGCAGCAACTCCCCTTAACCTGGGTTTCTAGCATATAGTACTCTTTGCCCTTGACAGTTGCATGGCTCTTGACCTTATTTTAACAATTGTATTTCATTATAAGCACCTCATAGCCATTTTGGAAATAGGCAAGATATAAACAATTAAAGAGTCAACCTGCTTTTACTAACAACCCTCAAAATGGCTGATGTTGGCTGATGCTCTGACTTTCAGTGGGAGGAACAACAGGCAAAATCCTGTCCTGCTTTGGGAAAAATTGCTCTTGTTGGTTGAGTAAATTACAAAATACTTTGAACTTCTCACTGCAGGAAAACACCTACATAAAATATTAAATGGAAGGACTATACTAACCTTACATTGTATTGAAAAGATTTACTGTTATTCCATTGTTTTAAAAGACTAACTTCTTAAACTTCCTTTCCCAATTTCCCTCATTTTCCATAATGACATCAAAATAACTCAAAGCTCTAGGTTCACCTTCAGTTCTTCCTTATTTTCTCCTGTATCTAAGTAGGCATCTAATCCTATTAATTCTTCCTTGACAACATCCTCTCTGTTCCCACTTCCTTCTGTCCCTTGGGTCCAGATTACCGTAATAACATTCTAAGAGATTTCCTATCTCTGCCAGTACAATCCAACTTCCACAACCAACACCAAGATAACTTCTCGAAGACATCATTTTCACCTTTTCCTCCCCTGTGCAAAAAGGTATAATGGCTTCCCATTACCTTTTGAAGAGGAGTAAGAATAAGAATAGCTAGGTTGTAGTGAGTGCTTACTTACATAGGTTTCCAGGCACTGTGGAAAAGAGCCGTACACCCGCCTCATTATCCTCAATTCTTATCATCATCTTCATGTGGATGAGGAGACTGAGGCTCAAGTTCAGTCACTTGCCTAGGGTTGCACAGGTAATAAGTTACAGAGCTGAGATTCAACCCAGTTCTATTTGGCTCCAAAGCCTGTGGTCCTAACAACTATGCTATTCTGCCCAAACTCTTTAAGCTTAAACCCTTCAGTTATTTAAGATCCTGGAAATCTGGCCCTATTTTACCTCTCTAGTTTTATCTCTCATTACTTCATTGTACAAACTCTGTTTCAGTCAAGCTAGTCTCACTACCCTGAAACCTGCTGTGTCTTTCCCTCTAAGCTTTTGTTCACATGGTTCCTTCTGCTTGGAATACCTTCCCCTTCACCCTGTGTTTGTCCAGATTTTAAACTACTTTCAAGGCCTAGGTCACATTTTATTTATTTTTTTAAGATTTTATTTATTTGTCAGAGAAAGAGAGCACAAGCAGGGGGAGCATGGCAGGCAGAGGGAGAAGTAGGCTCCCCGCTGAGCAAGGAGCCCGTTACGGGACTCGATCCCAGGACCCTGGGATCATGACCCTGGGATCATGACCTGAGCCGAAGGCAGATGCTTAACCGACTGAGCTACCCAGGCACCCCTAGATCACATTTTAATTCACACAACTCAACCCACTTTTCTATTCCAGACTACCCATAACGTGTATTGTTTATATTGACAATAATATTTAAACTCTTGATCATACACTGCATCAATACAAAATGTTTTAGCACATCCTTCCAATATATGTAAATAATGTATCCTTCCAATACAGGATGGACATATACTACCAAGCTAGTATATAAGATGAATCACTGAATATATGCAAAATACAAATATAAAAATGATGAGCTAAAGATGAAATGATGTTTTTAGAACATTTTAAATTGTATTTTATTAACTATAGGTCATTATTGAGAGTGAATATGAGTTCATATTTCCAGTAGTCTTCATGATTTAAGATTATTTTAGCCAGTGCCTTGATAGAGATTAGCTCAGCATTGTGTTTTCACAAGAAGGTGGCAGATGATGTGTACTTTGCTAGGTAGGAGCTTCACCTTTGTCATTTCCCTGTCATTCACTGAGACTTGTATTACAAATCTGTCCAACATTTCTTTATAGAAATCTTGTTAAGATACTTGTCTATTTTGTGGAACTTGGTTTAATTAAAACTAGATAATATATCCAAATGGCCACCTAACTTGCAATTAGTTATAATTAGCTAAAGGCCAAAAACATGCTGGTGTTTTGCAAGATCTTTGGACCCTCTGGGCTGAGTGAGGGCACCTGTTCAAGATGTCTACTATTAGCAAACCTTCCTTTCTTACTATCTTAGATTTTAAAATATATAAATTGAATTTCTGTGTTTTTCTTTTTGCTTCCCAGTGGATCACCTTGTATACTTCCTGGGCTATGATCATGCTTACTTTGGAGAGCACCAACTTAATGTGTATAAAACTTGTCTCTCAAATGTGATTCTAGGCCATTTTAGGGAAAGCTCATCTGCTTATTTCATGGGTTCCCCATAATATTTAGCACCATATTTGCCTGGCACTGTCCTAGGTACTTTATTATGTGTGAAATACGTTTTTTAAAATACCAGGATGAATTTAGACTGTGCAATTTCTTAAAGCCATTTCAACCATTTTTAAGAGTACAATTCAGTGTTATTAAGCACATTCACAATGTTGAGCAACCATCATCACTTTTCATTTCCAGAAATTTTTCATCATGCCAAACAGAAACTCCATACCCATTCAGCAGTAACTTCCTTTTTAACCTCAATCTCCTGTAACCTCTGTTCTACTTTTTGTCTCTATGAAGATTTGTATTCTAGGTACCTCATAAAAGTGGCATCATACAATATTTGTTCTTTTGTGTTTGATATTTCACTTAACATAATGTTTGCAGTATTCATCCATGTTGTAGCATGTGTCAGAACTTCCTTCCTTTTCATGGCTAAATGATAACTCCATTGTATGTTTATATCACATTTTTTAATCTACTCATCTGGTGATGAACACTTGGGTTGTTTCCACCGTTTGGCTATTGTGAATAGTGCTACTAATGAACATTGGTGTACAAGTACCTGTTTGAGTCCCTTTTTTAATACTTTTGGGTATATACATAGGAACAGGATTGGTGGATCATATGGTAATTCAATGTTGAACTTTTTGAGAAACCATCGAATTGTCTTCCACAGAGTCTGCACCATTTTACATTCCCACCAACAATGTGTAAGAGTTCCAATTTCTCCACATTCTCGCCAACACTTGTTTTTTTCTGCATTTTAAAATAATAGCTATCCTAGGGGTACCTGGGTGTCTTAGTTGGTTAAGCGTCTGCCTTTGGCTCAGGTCATGATCCCGGAGTTTTGGGATGGAGTCCTGCACTGGGCTCCCTGCTCAGCAGAGAGTCTCCTTCTCCCTCTCCCTCTGCCCTTCACCCTGCTTGTGCTCTCTCTCTCTCAAATAAATAAAGTCTTTAAAATAAAATAAAATAAAATAAAATAAATAAAAAATAATAGCTATCCTAATAAGTGTGAAGTGTTAGCTCATTGTGGTTTTGAATTGCATTTCCCTAATGACAAATGTTAAACATCTTTTCACGTGCTTATTAACCGTTTATATGTCTTCCTTGGAAAAATGTCCATTCAAGTCCTTTGCCCTTATTTTAATTAGGTTGTTTATCTTTTTGTTGTATTATAGAAGTTCTTTATATATTCTGGATATATAAAATATAAGATTTGCAAATATCTTCTCCAGTTCTTTTTTCAAAAGATTTTTTGAATTAATTTTTTTTTTTGAAGATTTTATTTATTTGAGAGAGAGCAAGAGAGCATAAGCAGGGGGAGTGGCAGAGTAAGGAGCCCAACACGGGGCTTGATCCCAGGACTCCAGGATCATGACCTGAGCCAAAGGCAGATGCTCAACCAATGAGCCACCCAGGCGCCCAATTAATTTATTTTAGAGAGAGAGAGCACCAGAATGGTGAGGAGGGGCACAGGGAGAGAATCTTCAAGCGACTCCACACTGAGTGCCGAGCCAGACGTGGAGCTTGATCCCACAACCCTGAGATTGTGATGTGAGCCAAAATCAAGAGTCAGACGCTTTTAACTGACTGAGCCACTCAGGAGCCCCTATCTTCTCCAATTTTGTAATTGTCTTTTCACTCTCTTGATAGTGTCTTTTGATACACAAAAATTTTAAACTTTATGAAGTCTAGTTTATCTGTTTTTTTCTTATGTTACCCGTGCTTTTGTATTATATCCAAGAAATCATTACCAAATCCAATTCATGAGGTCTTTGCCCTATGTTTTCTTGTAAGAGTTTTATAGTTTTAGGTCTTACATTTAGGTCTTTCATCCATTTCAAGTTAATTTTTATACATGGTGTAAGGAAAGGATTCAACTTCATTCTTTTGCATGGGGATGTTCAGTTTTTCCAGCACCACTTGTTGAAAAGACCATCCTTTCCCCAGTGAATGGTTTGGCACCCTTATGGAAAATCAATTGACCGTATGTGCAGGTGTTCATTTCTGGGCTCTCTGTTCTATTCCATTGATCTATATGTCTGTCCTTCTGCCAGTACTGCACTATTTTGATTACTGTTGCTTTATAGTAAGTTTTGAAAGCAGGAAGTGTGAGTCCTCCAAATTTATGCTTCTTTTTCAAGATTGTTTTGGTTATTCAGGGCTCCTTGAGATCCCATGTGAATTTTATTTTTTCTTCCATGTGAATTTCAGGATGGGTTGTTCTATTTCTGCAAAAAATGCCACTGGGATTTTGATAAGCATTGCATTGCATCTGTTGATCACTTTGGGTAGTATTGCCATCTTAAAAATACTACATATTTCAATTCATGAACACAGGATATCTTTCCATATGTGGGTTATTTTTTAAATAACTATTTATGTGGAAAATGATACTTGCATTTATTAAAAAAATAAAGGTCAAACAATATGGTAAAGTACAAAGAAAGAAAGAACAAATTACCCTAAATCTCACTACTCATTGATAAGTACTGTGAACTTTTTGGTGAACATCCTTTAGAACATCTCTTGTTTATAATTTTACATAAATAGCCTCTGAGGGTTTTTTTTCCTACTTAATATGTAATACATGTTTTTCAATGTCAATTACTAGATTTAAATCATGTTTGCACATAGGGGTGCCTGGGTGGCTCAGTCGGTTAAGCGTCTGCCTTCAGCTCAGGTCATGATCCTCAGGGTCCTGGGATCCAGTCCCGCATCAGGCTCCCTGCTCGGCGGGGAGTCCGCTTGTCCCTCTCCCTCTGCCCCTATCCCCTTCTCATATACGCTCTCTCTCTCAAATAAATAAATAAAATCTTTTAAAAAAATAAATAAATCATGTTTGCACCCTCATTTAATTAAACAAACCGATACTGATAAACATTTAGTTTGCTTTGCACTGTGAGTAATATTTATTAATATCATAGTATTAATGGTAGGAAAAATAGTATAATAATGAATGTTTGATGTTTGCTCTTTTGAATGAAGAAAACTACAAAGTTTTTCATCTAAAAAGTTTCTGCGTATTTGATGTACTGTAATGCATTAGTAATAGATCTTTGGTGTAGTAGGTGCAACAATTAAAAGTAGAGAACTAGACACTTGTTTAGAGATTTTATACTCTAGCTCTTCTGTAGCCCAGTGAATAATAATAAAGGTACAACCAAATGAAATAATTTTGTCAAACCATAAGATCTGGTATTCATTTATTCTCACGTTCTGCCTTTCAGGAAGAAGGCATGAATTTAGTAACTAGAGAAGCAATGCATGAATGGTGAGTAGTGTAATTTGAATTACTAGTCTGATCATCTCTATATTCAGTTACACCTTTTCTTTTAGTTAGGCAAACTCCAGTACTGATATCTCTCCTTTTGCAGGGAGGTACAAACCGCAATACGGATAAGTCGGTCTTGGGAAGAAAGTTTGAACCTGGTATGGTATTAACACTTCAATTTTATAGAAAATTTGCAATTTTTACTGATTTTCAGTATTGGCACTACCTAGTTTTGCTGTAATTTCTAGAAATCTAAGCTCTCACTTGAAATTGAAATCTATATGCTGCATAAATAATTTTTGATTGCTCCTAAGAAACAGTTGATGACTTACTCATAAAAATAACTGATATCATTTGAAAGTGGGGTTCATTGTTGTTGTAGACCAGCTTCCTCTCTGTCCTAGTGAGTCTAAGAAAAGTTCAGTTCTGCTGGTCAAATTGCTTAGATGACAAAACAATAAATGATTTCACTCCTTCCTACCTAATTTATTAACTAGGTATTAGAGTTTCAACCCACAGACAATGGGTTTCCTGGATAAATACTACATTTCTATGCCTGTAACACATATACTCCCACTAACATTTTAACATGCAACCTTTAATTTGAACATATTTGGAATTTAGTTACATCCCCTGCTAACATTTTTTAATGTCTCTGTACACATTATGATTACTTAGTTGTGGAAGTTGAGCAATGTTTAGGGTTCTTTTCCATGGACATTTCAGATAATGATAGAGAATTGAGCTGAAAATTGGGTAGAAGAGATTCTGGCTAGATGTCAGTGTCCAGATTTGGGAGTCACTAGATTAGGAAATGGGTCATCAACAGAAACAGTGACATCTTATTTTCCTTTGGCCCTGAGTGCCTTAGATGGACATCTGTTCCTGATTTAGGAGTAGGTCCTGAAGATTGAGTAGATAACCTCTGAAGCCTGCCCCTTTTCATGTTTAGTGCTAATACAATTTATAGATGCTGTTGGATTCACTTAACTGACCCAGTTCTAATTACTTCAGGGGTTGGCACGAGTGAGTGAATCTGTGAATGTGTTAGGAAGAGGAAGGGAACATGTAACATGACTGTACTGTGTCTTAGAAAAGAAAAGAGCACATTTTAAAGTCCTGAATTATGCAGTACTGATTTTGTCCACATAAAATCTATAAACATTTTTTAATAACTGTAGTTATTTTTGCTGTCCCATTTGTATCTTAGTTCTAACCAAATCCTTTTTTATTGTTTCCTGGACATAGCATTGTAGTTTTCAACAACAAAGCACAGGTCAGACGCCAAGAGAAAAATTTTAATTTAGGATTTGTGTATATACTAGTAAGTATTGCTCGATATCAAGTGCTCACATTCTAGGCCTTTTGGGGATGCTAGGGAAGCCCCTCAACTTGCCATGAGCTCTCTTTCCCAAAAGGAAAGAGTGCAGTGAATCTTGGGTTCCCTGCTTGCTTTAGGATGATATGAGCTCCTCACCATGGTACAACCACTGATTCAGTAAGGATTCCCTTGCCTGTGTAGCAGCTATCTCCCTAAGTATGTGCTGGGGAAGCAACTGGTGCTACAATGCTACCCTGCTTTCTGCTTACACAGAGTGACAATGATTTAGAGAAACCGTCTTCAAAGCGCATCGATTTAATTCCAGTGTCCCCAGCAGCTCCTCCCACCAGGGGGATTGGGAAGGTAAGAGAGGAGAGCCTAAGAATCTGTGTCCCTTGAAATTTTTATAAAATATTAATGTTTCACCACCCACATGTTGGGGGGATATGTTTTGCCACAGGACATCTGATTCTAAATGACATTTTCCCCTTCCTTTTCATCTCTTGAACTGTTATTAACAAAACAAAAGTCACCAACTTTTAAGTATATGATTTGATTAATTTTCGTAATTGTGTACAATCCTGTAACCATAACCATAATCAAGATATAGAACAGTTCCCATACTCTAAACAATGTCCTCGTGATCTTTTGCACTTGCTATCCTCTACCCCTACCCCCCCCCCCCGCCCACCCTAGAAAACCACTGATCTGCTTTCTGAGAAGAGTGGTGGTTTTAAAACCTCTGTTCTAATTTGGTTTTAGCAATGTTTTCCTCCATCGTTACAAACTTGTGTGAGTTGCACCACTATGCCTCCAAGCCCTTTTCCCAGTCCTACGCGACAATTTACAATGTAAGTTCATGTTGTATGAAAATATACCAAATTGCTTATAAAATGAGAATTTTAGAAACTTACAAGAAATAATAGCTCCAGGTTCTATGACAACCAAAGAAGTCGTGTGTTTTTAGCTAAATTAAAATGCCATTGTTTTGATTTATTATTTTGTATATTGAAAAGAATTGAGTGACTAAGAACATGTGAGAACATGCGAACACACGAAGAATCAGTAATTCCTTAGCCCTGTTGAACATATGCTTCCTCTCCAAGCTTGATGATAAGGATCAGAGCTAATTCGTAAACTGTAAACAACTGTACCTGGTCATTTACCCATGATTTTCACCCTGATTCAAGGCAAGTCACAACTAGAACTGTAGGTCTTTCTAGCTTTTCTCCCCCCCACAATTTCAGAGAATCCTGAATCCTTACAAATTACAAGACAGTTTGCTATACTGAAGCATTCCTGTTTTTAACCCAGATTTAGAGGAGAGCAATAAAACAATGTGATACTACACAGTCCTTTTTTAGTGTATGTCCTTAGATCTATTATAATGAAATAGTCATAGCTGAATTTGTTCAAATTTTTTCTTGTAATGATTGTCATAATTTTATTTTAGAAGAAGTCAAAACCCCACCAACATTATTAGACCAAGTATCTGTGGACCATTAAAAAGAAAAGGTACTTTTATCTACCAGCAAAAATAAATATAACTTCGAATTATTTTTATAAAATATCATATAAAATCAAGTGTTATAAGAAATTAATTTTAAAGGATTTTTTATTTAAAATATATTTGATAAGTTACTAGAGGCCTTTCGTTTTACTCAAACAAAACTATGTAAAGATAATTTTAAAAGCTGTAAAGTGCCATATAAATGTGAATTGAGAAATTTAATTCCAGTTTAGTCAACTATTATGATTTTCATTATATAATTCACCAAGCTAGCTGCCTTAAATACTTTCTGAAACAAGGTGGGGGATGAATGAATGAGCAAACAGAATGAATCAGTCCTAGTATTCCACTGAATCTCGACCCCTACCCTGCCTGCCGCTGTACCTACTTGTTGACTTCACATGAATAAGTTGACACAAATCAGATCCACTTACTACACTAAAAATATATGCTATGTTTCATGCTATGTTAATTTTGGTTAAATATATGGAAAATGACCCACCCAGTAATAAAAAGGCAGAAGAAAAAAACAGAAGTTGTTTTTTGTTGTTGTTGTTGTTTGTTTTGTTTTTTTTTAACTCCCACAGCCCTGGATCCCATTTCTCAACCCTGCCTCATAAGCTAGGTTGTTCTTCCTTTTTTGTTAATACCACTACTGGGTTTATAATAGGGAGGGAAAATGGATAAATAGGAAAGGAGGTTAAACTTTTAAAATGCGTATTTGTGAAAAATCCATTAAGATAGGAAAGAAGAAGGAGAAGAAAAAAAGAGGAGGAAAAGGGGGAAGAAAAGGAGAAGGGGAAGGAGGAGAGCGAAACTATAGGGAAAGAAATTGAAATTTAAATGTACTTCAGTCTTGCTTGTATTTTGGATTACTTAATGGCAGTTGTCCTAACAACACATCTAACTCAGCAGGTACTTATTATATCCTAAGACTAAGACTAGATCAATTCCGGAAAACACTCTTTCAAACTAAGCACTTTGTTTTATGATGATGGATCAATGACCTAGCTTAGGGGTCTTTTGCCTGTGCTGTGAAGTTAGGGGCTAATGTTGACAAAACATTTAAATATATTAAGTTTAAGAGCTGTTAGAAAGTTGGGGTCATTTGAGTATTTAAAATAAAATATGCTGGGGTGCCTGGGTGGCGCAGTCGTTAAGCGGCTGCCTTGGGCTCAGGTCATGATCCCAGAGTCCTGGGATCGAGTCCCACATCAGGCTCCCTGCTCAGCGGGAAGCCTGCTTCTCCCTCTCCCACTCCCCCTGCTTGTGTTCCTGCTCTCGCTGTCTCTGTCTCTGTCAAATAAATAAGTAAAATCTTAAAAAAATAAGATAAAATATGCTTAGGGGCACCTGGCTGGCTCAATTGGTGGAGCATGTGACTGATCTCAGGGTTGTGAGTTCAAGCCCCATGTTGGGTGTAGAGATTACTTAAAAATAAAATCTTAAAAAAAATAAATCAATAAAATAAAATACGCTTAAATTGAAGAGAGTGTTTTACTAAATTAAAATAATTCTCCTTTTGGGGAGCCTGGGTGGCTCAGTTGAGCGTCCAACTCTTGATTTTGGCTCAGGTCACAATCTCAGGGTCGTGAGATCGAACACCTTGTTGGGCTCCACGCTCAGCACAGAGTTTGCTTCTCTCTCTCTTTCCCTCTCACTCTGCCCCTCCCCCCATTCACATGCTTCTGTCTCTAAAATAAATAAATCTTGGGACACCTGAGAGGCTCAGTCGGTTAGGCATCTGCCTTTGGCTCGGGTTGTGATCCCAGGGTCCTGGGATTGAGTCCCACATCCAGCTCCTCACTTGGTGGGGAGCCTGCTTCTCCCTTTCCCTTTGCCTACCACTCCCCCTGCTTGTGCTCTCTCTGACAAATAGATGAAAGCTTTAAAAAAATAAATAAATAAATAAGTCTTTTAAAAAATAAATAAAAATAATTCTCCCTCTAAGACATTTACACATAAAATGTTTTATGACATTGAAAATTCCTGGAATTTTCTTAGAATTTATGATTTAAAAAATTGTTTTTATATTATAATTTTCACACAATACATTTGGTTTCTGCCCAGTATCTTGGTGGATGTGGCATGTCTCACACAAGCCTCTCATACTTGGTTTTCAGTTCCTCTGGAGGATGACTGCCTCCTTTCTTTGAGGTATCCCTAAGAACTCCAAAGCAAATTCTATATGTACTACATAGTCTGTATTTTATTTTTTTTTAAGATTTTATTTATTTATTTGAGAGAGAGAGAGAATGAGAGACAGCACGAGAGGGAAGGGGATCAGAAGGAAAAGCAGACCCCCCGCTGAGCAGGGAGCCCGATGTGGGACTCGATCCCGGGACTCCAGGATCATGACCTGAGCTGAAGGCAGTCGCTTAACCAACTGAGCCACCCAGGCGCCCCCATAGTCTGTATTTTAAGTCAGACCCTTCCAAACACAGCCGATACAAGTTTGGTCAAAATTCTTTTGGAATTTTAGATATAGTAACAGATTAAACAGAAATTTAATTTTATTTATCTATTTGGGAATATGAATATCCATTTGGGAAACAACAAATGATGTCTTATTTGGAGCCTATTGAAATGTGGGGAAAGAAGGTATAAAAAAATCCAAAGAGGTCTTGGGTAGGGGAGAAAAAAGAATGAGGACTATATAAAATGGGAAAGAGTATGAGATAGCAGTTAAAATCTCCAAGCATATGAAGGTGCATTGTATGGTGATAAGCTACACCTACTTCCACTAGAAATAAGCAAGAGCAACTAAGACTTCAAGTGGGAATTCTGAGAAATCTGCAGAAATCAGATAGCTATAAAGAGTGTTTTACAAGTAATAATGGTTTCAGCAAAGATAATTTTTATATGATGAATTTGTCTTGGTATGTCTGGCTTTTAATTTAAACCCAAAAAGAAAGGTGAATAGTTTTTCCATAATGATGTAATTGTAATCTGGCATGGGACAGGATGCCCAGACCTCTTTTGAGCTTTATGAGCCATGATTATACTCCTAAGGAAGGTTTGTGGAATCTCTATTTCTAGCGATATATATGTCACTTATTATATTATATTATATTATATTATATTATATTATATTATATTATATTATATTATATTATATTATATATCGCTAGAAATGAGATATTTATTTAATTTAAAGATTTTATTTATTTCTTTAAGAGAGAAAGTATGTGTGGGCGCCTGGGTGGCTCAGTTGGTTAAGCAACTGCCTTCAGCTCAGGTCATGATCCTGGAGTCCCTGGATCGAGTCCCGCATCGGGCTCCCCGCTCGGGAGGGAGCCTGCTTCTTCCTCTGACCCTCCCCCATCTCATGTGCTCTCTCTCTCTCTCTCTCATTCTCTCTGTCTCAAATAAATAAATAAAATCTTTAAAAAAAAAAAAAGAGAGAAAGTGTGTGAGCAGGGGAGGAGCAGAGGGAGAGGGAGACAATCTCAGCAGACTCTGTGCCTAGCACAGAGCCCCTTGTGGGGCTCGATCCCAGGACCCTAAAGTCACGACCCAAAGTCACAACCCCAAAGTCACAACCTTTCTTCTGATACTACTCAACAGTCTGATATGAATGTGTGGTGAGTATTAACATGAGGTTTTAAGAGTCCAACACTTAACTGACTAAGCCACCCAGGTGCCCCAGGATGTATGTGTATATATATATATATATATATAAATTTTTCATTTTTAAAAATATTTTATATATATATATAAAATATTTTTTTAAATGAAAAAATTTTAATTTTTAAAAAGGTTTTATTTATTTGAGAGAGAGAGAGAGCAGCAGAGGGAGAAGGAGAAGCAGGCACGGAGCCAGACTCAGGGCTCTATCCCAGGACCCTGGGATCATGACCTGAGTTGAAGGCAGACGCTTAACCAACTGAGCTACCCAGGTGCCCCATTTCATTTTTTTGTAAGATTTTTTAAATTTATTTTATTTTATTTATTTATTTGAGAGAGGGAGAGAGAGAGCTCAAGCAGGAGCCCGATGCGGGGCTTGATCTCAGGACCCTCAAGATCATGACCTGAGCTGAAGGCAGACACTTAATCGACTGAGCCACCCAAATAGGTGCCCCTATTTTATTTTATTTTTAAGTAAACTCTACACCCAACATTGGGCTTAAACTCACGACCAAGAGTCACATGCTCGACTGACTGAGCCGGCCAGGGGCCCCTATTCCTAGGGATCTTTTTTAATGAGTAGATGGCCTTAGTGTTTTACCATTCAAATTCCACCCTATGAGTTATGGGCTTGAACATCAGTTTTCTCTCGTCCAGACATGGTTATCACATGATGGTGTAATAATGTGCAGATTTTAGCATTTACTTTGATGTAAAGATTACAGCAATGCAGTTTTTTGAGACTAGATGTGTCTCCTTAATCTTTAAAAATATATTTATTTTGTTCATTGTATGCTATAAAAGAATTGATCTATTTAGTTCATTGTATATGTTTGGCAAAATAAAGATAGCAACAGCCTAAACATTTAAAATAAGGAATGAGATTAAATTATGGTATGGCCATACTACATAGCTCTATAAAATCACGTTGTAGAATTTAGTTAATAATATGAGAAAATTATAATCATTAAAAACAAAAAATAGGTTACATGTTGGTATTATATATGATACAAATCAAATTTTGTTTAAAAACAATCATGTGTACACACACATATTTAGGAATTACTGAAAAGTGGTTATCTCTGGGTAATGGGGACATAAAACTTTTTCCTTTGTTTTTATGTATCTTATAAATTATTTGCAATGAACAAGTTTTACTTTTACAATTAAAAGCAAAAGCATGTTAGATAAAACATATCTACTTTGATCTGCTTTTTTGTCATAGGTGAAATGACATTTGAAGATCAGCCAAAGAAACTTTTCCAAGGCACAACCAACATGCTTTCTTCTGATACTACTCAACAGTCTGATATGAATGTGTGGTGAGTATTAACATGAGGTTTTAAACATTCATTGGCCATTTTTCACTTGCTTTTTAAATCTGTTCTTACTATTGTATATATTCAGAAGTATTATTAAATATTTTTAGAAGTTATAAAACTAATATCCCAAATGAATGCTATTAGCTTTAGTTCTTCTCCCTAACATTTATGTGTGACATTAATATATGCTGGATACATTTTTAGAAGTGGGGTCTTGGCATTTGATTAAGAGGTATTAGAGAAGGGGCTCCTGGACAGCTCATCAGTTAAGCAGCCAGCTCTTGGTTTCGGCTCAGGGCATGATCTCAGGGTCATGGTCTCAGGGTTGTGAGATCGAGCCCCTTGTTGCAGGGGGTTGATGGTTGCTCTGAGTTCAGCACAGAGTCTGCTTGAGATTCCCCCTCCCTCTGCCTCCCCTTCTGCTCCTCTCTCTCTGTCTCTCAAATACATAAAATCTTAAAAAAAAAAAGAGGTATTAGAGAAATATATAAAAATGCAAGCTTGGAAAAAAGTCATCTTCTGCCCATCTTTTCTTCCTTGGATTTTTGTGTGCTTTGTTAGGCTGAGCGTATTATTGAAAGGCGTGCCAAGAAAGCATGTTTTAATAATCAAGATGGGAAATGCAGTGAATGGGTTTTTATTTAATGTTACTGTTGGCTCTGTTTTACTGCTCTTGTGAAATTGCTCTTGTAACTAGTGCCAGTTCTTTGCTTCATATATTTTGTGTTCATTTGTAGACAAAGCAGAGTGCACAGAGATCTTTTGAATTCTGTTCTCAACGAATGGCATTTTCTTCTCCTAGTCTATCTTTAGATATTCTTGATGGAAACAATAGTGGTACAGGATCTTCTTGAATTCATCAGTTAGAATCAGCACTGTCACATTCTCCCATATCATCCTCTGATTCTCATTCTCCATGTATTGTAGTAGATGAACTTTCAACCAAGTGACTCACCCATCCCAAGACTTTCTCACCAGTGGAGAAACATGTTTGCTTCTCTCTCCCTGCCCCCGCACACACACAAGTTAGAGCAACTATTTCTTATTACCTTATTTTCTCAATTTCCTAAAATTCTGTTTATCTACGGAATTTGCATATCTAATTGCTTTGTATGCCCTTAAAACCAATGTAGTGATACTTTCAAAGATGTTTCCCAAATAACTATATTGAAGATACAATCATGTCTTCAAGCTGCTAAAGTGTAGAAACATGCTGCACCTTGGTTTTTTAAAAACATAATTGAGAGCTCTATTTATTTATATGAATAAGTAGATAAAATTATAAGTCCTGATGAAATATAATTGTTCCATTGATCAACAAGTAAAATAATTTTTTAGGTTATATGCTGAGTGCCCATGCTAGTTCTTTTTTTTTTTTTTAAGATTTTTTTTATTCATGAGAGAGAGAGAGAGAGAGGTAGAGGGAGGAGCAGGCTCCCCAAGGAGCAGGGAGCCCGATGCGAGGCTCGATCCCAGGACCCCGGGACCACGACCTGAGCCGAAGGCAGACACTTAACGACTGAGCCACCCAGGCGCCCCCCCATGCTAGTTCTTAATGATATTTTCAATAATTGCTAGTTTCCTCTTGGTAAGGAAAAATCACCTATCTTAGAGCAGTTTTTAAAACTAAGCTAGTTATACTATGCTGATACAAGGATTGCCTATTTTGCACATGAATCCTTGGATGTTTAATTTGTTGGGAAGGAATAGGTAGGGGAAACAAGATGAAGAAAGGTAATTGAATAGCATGAAAATAATATGTAATTGGGCTTCACTCAATTTGTACTTAACCTGATTATCCCTGATCAATTTTGTATCCTAATTCAGTATGGAAAAAAGACAATGTTGATAAATTGTGGTCTTTTACATTTCTATGAATTACTTTTTATTCATCATCATGACTACTGATTTGATTAAATAAGGCTTAATATGTTAGAGTTTTTCTGCAAGAATCATATACTTCCAGTTGTTCCCTAAGGACTACAAATGTTTGTTTAAACTTCAATTTTCTATTCAAAAGTCTTAAGGGTTTTCTGAGTAAGAAAAATTATTTGTTAAAAATTTAAAATCTAAAGTGAGTGCTTTAAGTAATTGAGGATGGCATTAGCATTTTGAAAAATAGAAATGTATCCTCATGAAGTTCAGAATTGGTTTAAATTTCCTCAGCTAATGAAATAGGAATGGTTATCTAAAATATTCATAAAAAGTTTTTCCTTGTCATTAGAAATAATCAGAATGACGAAAATCAGATATAGGTATGCCCCACATGGGAAAAAGACTGTTACATCAAGAATTGTTTGCCAGGGGCACCTGGGTGGCTCAGTCGGTTAAGCGTCTGCCTTCGGCTCAGGTCATGATCCCAGGGTCCTAGGATCAAGCCCCATGTCAGGCTCCCTGCTCCTGGTGAATGAAGCTCCCTCTCTCTCAAATAAGTAAATAAGATCTTAAAAAAAAAAAAAAGAATTGTTTGACAGTGGCTGCAATGAAATTGATTAGCATGGCTAGATATGTGGGAGAAGATTTTGTTCACCTATGAATAAATGAATATTTATGAGATGACTGGGATCATGATAGTCCCTGGAAACTGGGACAGGATTCTACAAATTGGTCAAGGACAAGTGAACTATCAATATTGCCTTTGTAACTCAGCTCCTATACTTGCCAGACCCTTAGTGGACCAATTGTGAACATATACGGGGGCCCTCATGGGCTGAGGTGTGACTGCAGTGATGTTCTTGCTGAAATTGTACATCATTGACAAACAGTGTCCTCACGTATTACTGACACTTGAGCAAAAGAGAAAAAAAAAGGTTTGCGAAATATTCAGGTACAAAGACCAAGGTTGGAGAAAGTGAACAGTGGGAGTAGGACTACTACTCAGTTGTATAAAGAGCTTTTATTTTTTTTATTTATTTATTTTTTAAAGGTTTTACTTAGTTATTTGTCATAGAGAGAGAGAGTACAAGCAGGGGGAGCGGCAGGCAGAGGGAGAAGCAGACTCCCCGCTGAGCAAGGAGCCCGATGTGGGACTTGATCCCAGGACCCTGGGATCATGACCTGAGCCGAAGGCAGACACTTAACTGACTGAGCCACCCAGGCGTCCCATAAAGAGCTTTTAATCAATAAATCTTGGTAATACTGACAATCTGAACACACCTCTTTCAACTCAGACAATTCCTTTCATTCTATTCAATTAGTTTTTATTGTTTTAGTTGTACTCCAGGATGCCACACTTACTATAATATGCTCAGAATCAAGGACTTCGTAGTTGGTTTTCCGGTCTATTGCCTTTTGAGCTTTTGTATTGGGAAGATCTGTTTCTTATATGATTTTTCATTTCTTAAGTGGTTTTCAGACCATAGTAGTTCTAACTTTTACATGATATTTTTTGTGGTTGATTTTTTCTTTTTTGTTGTTGTTGTTTCAAGTTTTTATTTAAATTCTAGTAACATACAGTGTAATATTAATTTCAGGAGTAGAATTTAGTGATTCATCACTTATATATAACACCCAGTGCTCATCACAACACCTGCCCTCCTTAATGCCCATCATCCATTTAGCCCATCCCCCACCCACCTCCCCTCCATCAATCCTCAGTTTGTTCTCTATAGTTAAGAGTCTGTTTTATGGGTTTGTCTCTCTTTCTCTCTCTCTCTTTCCCTTAATGTTCATCTGTTTTGTTTCTTAAATTCTACATATGAGTGAAATCATATGGTGTTTGTCTTTCTGTGATTAACTTATTTCACTTAGCATAATATACTCAAGCTCCATCCATGTCATTGCAAATGGCTGAGTAATATTCCATTATATATATATATATAATACACACACATGCACACACACGCACACACACACACACACTACATCTTCTTTATCCGTCCAGCTCTTCCTATAGTTTGGCTATTGTTGATAATGCTGCTATAAACATCGGGATGCATGTGTCCCTTCAAATCAGTATTTTTGTATCCTTTGGGTAAATACCTAGTAGTGCAATTGCTGGGCAGGGAAATACAAATCAAAACTACAATGAGAGTGGCTGATTATTTTCAGTTATGGTAAGACTATATTTTGTCATCCTAAACATGCCAAGGAATTGTCATGTCAGTTTTCATAGTAAAAGACACGTATTAGTTTCCTAGGGCTGCCATAACAAAGTACCACAAACTGGGTAGCCTAAACAAAATAGATTATCTCACAGTTCTGGGGGCTAAAAGTCCAAGATCAAGGTGTCATCAGAGTTGGTTCCTTCTGGAGGCTCTGAGGGAGAATTTGTTAATGTCTCTCTCTAGCTTCTGGTAGATGCCGGAAATCCTTACCTTGCAGACATATCACTCCAGTCTCTGTCTCTCTCATCGTATGGACTTCTCCCTGTGTTCCTGTGTTTTCATGTGGTTATTATAAAGACACTAGTCACTGGATTTAGGGCCCAAGCTAATCCGGTATGACTTCATCTTAGCTTGACTACATCTGCAAAGACCCCATTTCCATCTAAGGTCACATTTGCAGATACCAGGCTTTAGGACTTCAACATTACCTTTTGAGGTACACAATTTAATCCACAACAGAATACTTCTGGGATTTTTATTTTGCTTGTTTCATTTTTCTTAAGTTAGTTTTTTAAATCATCTATCTTATAACCCATTTTAAACAAGAGGTGACCGTATTGAACATAACATTGGTATATTTCCTTATATATTATACATATATGCTTATTTATATATATATATGTATGCTTATGTACAGATATACTAGTTTTCACATTGTCAATAAAAGGATAAATGAAAGTGGAAGTATGGTTTTAAAATATTTTCAAAGCATCATTTTTAAGCCTTAATATGTATTCGTGTTCAATCAAATATTCCTATTTTACTTATAATGTTATAAAAGAGCAGCACTCCATGGGACACCTGGGTAGCTCATTCAGTTCAGTGTCTGTCTTCAGCTCAGGTTATGATCCCAGGGTCCTGGGATCGAGCCCCACCTCAGACTCCCTGCTCAGT